TTTTTTAGATTATAAAGGATTTAAAAAGGTCACAAAAATGCAGTCTTCATTACAACGGTTAAAATGAAAAAAAAAACCTTATTTTTTACCCAAAAAAAAATTATAACTTAACGATTTTTTTTGATTCAAAAAATAAAAATCAAGCAAGAAATTTTAAAGTATATATAAAACTTTAGGTGTACCGTTAAATTCTCCAATATCAACGCCTTTCCAATAAAAAAGAATCATCGAAAACGGATCACGTTACCCAAAGTTATCCGATAACATACATAAAAAGATTCCGATGAATTCATAACCTCCGACTTTTTTGAAGTCGGTTAAAAATAGCAATTTTGCTATGATCTAAAAATGAAACTTATGGTATTTAATGGTTATTTTCCCGCGATAACGATACTGTGATATCAATAAATGCATTCCGATAACTATGGTATCGATAAATGTAGTCCGTTAACAACGATATCGATAAATTACATGAAGAAACATATCGATAAAAAATAATTTTATAAAAAATACGACCTAATATTTTCAGAAAACAAATGCAATTTTGGCAATTCATCAACAGTTGTTTCCACGTAATGAAAAAATCACTTTTATGTATGTATGCAGCAGTTGCCAAATTTTATTTTCTAACAACTGTAAATTTCCAGAAAAAACTGTATTTTCAACATAAAAACTGTAAATTTATAAACGAATAGATTCTTTGAATGTTAAAATAATAAATTCGTCGCAATATTTGTTTTTCATGTATGCTACCGCATAACTTGGAACCTCGTCAACCCTTTTTACCGGGAAGATGGTACCTCAAAGGAGGTCTCATACTAATTGGGTTTGGATCCGATCATTGGATCATGAAGAAATTAACGGTACTCCTAAATTTTTATACGAGAATTGAAGTCGTTTTTGTTGTTTGCTAAAAATTACGTACTAGCTCTATGATTGGAATACATCTGACCTCTTTTTATTCAAAGTGTAGTTACTGCATCTCCATCGTCTCTTTTCCTCTTAAAAATTTACATCCAAAAGAGATATTTTAATTTATTTTCTCAACACTGAAATTATGGGAAAACTGTAATTTGTACGAGAAGATAATTTACCGTAAGCTTGTCTAAAAAACTGTGATTTATAGTTGAAACTGTGATGCCCGGTTGTACCCATCACCTTTGAATTTATCAGCCTGTTAAAGTTTAAAACGACACAATTTTGTTCGGGGAAAATTTGTCATTTTACATTTTAACAGTCTGATAAATTGTTTTTTGTTATTTTTTGGCCTTTTTAACAATTATATTCAACAATTTTATAATGAGCTCGAGAGCATTCTAAAAAAAATAGAATTATTAGCACAAACCAACAAAACCAACAACCACATGATCAAGTGAATTGCAGCGGAATAGCTGCGCTTGATTGTGTTGGCATAACAAAAAATGAAAATAGTGGAAATAAGCAAACGATAGTTTACAAAGGCGTCTTAGCACCGTGCATAGGCAACTGGCTGAGTCAGTGGGATCGTCGGTTCGAATCCTACTGAAAGAAGTCTGATGAGGAAAATGTGGTGATTTCCGAAATAGCTATCACTTCTACCATTTTTTCAAATTATTGTTGCTTTTCCACAATAAATTTTCATTTAAAAAATGGCCTCGAGCTCATTATAAAATTGTTGAATATAATCTGATAAATTTTAAATTTGATTGGTGAAACTGGGGATGCATATGGCATATTTTCTCTTAAACCAATTTTTTTCAAATTGATCTTTTTAATTTCTCCTAATTACATACTCTTTAGCCTTTCTACATTTCGAACGCCGTTTTCTTGTTATTTTTACTCCAATTTTCATCAAAATTTATAGCAAGTCCTCTAGTAATAGTGTTCGAAAAATGAAGATATTCGAAGAAGCGGTTGAAATATTTATATATTTCAAGATTTTATACCAGACGCCATTTATTTGGTTAACGGCTGGTTTGGCGACACAATGTACAATTTTGATCGTGTTACCGAGAGTATGCAACGTTGTTTAACGGGACGATTTGCAAGAATCGCATCACAAACAAATAGGTCTTTTTTCACACGGTCTTATTTGCACATTGAAACGAACAAAGAAATTTTTATTCGAGAATTTGACCATTTTTCCAATTCCCCGACTCACGTGTTTTGTGAAAACCTGAAAAGTCGGAAAAAGTGAGTTTCGGGGAATTTATTAGAAATCATGGTATGAAAAAAGATCGTTCTTTCTTTTGAGAAATGCAGCTCCAGTGACGGTTCTTACATGAATAAAAACTGGGGTAGAGTTGCTCGCCCGCGGGTGCCCGAAAGTGGCCAATTTGTGTTTCTATGGTTGGTACTCGGACTGCTTTTGCGGGCGAGATTGTTAAAACTGTAAAACTGCCAGAAAAGGAGGAAGAATTTTAGACATTCAAATTTTAGCTTATAAATATGTGCATATTTCGCTACTTTTCTTTGATTGTTCTCAAAACTACTGAAAGTATTGAGTTGCAAATAAATAACAGAACACTTCATTAAAACACAATTGTTATTTTATTTTATTTTTAGATTCGAAAATACGGAAATTCGGATTTATTAATCAGGTATTCGAATATCCAGATTATCCTACTATAAACAGACGGTTTTCTTCGAAGAGGCCCGACTGTTGTGAGAGTTTCAAAATACGAAGGCGTTGACTGTCATTTTTCTGAAAACTCTATTTTATGTAAGAATTCGACGAAATTCATCAAAGAAAAACACATGCATCTTTCAAGAAATATAAAAAAATCGAATGTAGAATGTATTATCGCAGGCTTTTATACTATTTTTTTTAATGTAAAACAAAAGACAAATTAAAGACTAAAAACCAGTTCCTTGAAATTTATTGAAAAGCATTGCTTTCTGGATATGTGTTCGTTATATTAATGCCGGATTTTTACTGGATATTAAACGGACAAACTCGATAAGAAATAGTTATTAAATTCATTTCCATGTACCATTTGTTAAATCGTAGATAATTCTCGAACTTTAAATGCACAGTGGAAATGAGGCATGTACTTTTACATGCCAGTAGAAAATAACAAATCGAAATTCAGCATAAACATGAAAACCAGCCGTGAAAAGTTTGGTGGAAAAATAGGATTCAAAACGCAACTACCCAAAAAAACTTGGTTGATATTTGACTCATACATATTCTTACTCTTATGCCATTAGGAAATTAAAAATAGTCATTGAGTTTATTTCCATATGGCATTTTTGCCATTTGAATGCCAAGTTTAAACTCGGCATTAAGCAAGATTGCACTAAAATTTCAGCAAATTGTCAGTACATACATAGATGGTTAGTGTGATGTGCGACTGTTAGTTCCAGTTAAATATATTGCGTGTTAATACCAAGTACCATAATTTAAGATTATTGAAATATGTGTATAATAACGAAAAAATGATAAGCTGTATAATAATACAAAAATAAAAAGCAACTTAAAATAAAAAATAGTTAAAAAATAAATAATAAAAAGTAGAAAATGTTAAAAAGGGAATTACGCTTGTCTTATGAGCGAAGAGGCGCGCTTGTCTTTTGCTTCCGTACTGGCATTTGCTTCATTCGCATTCGA